TCCCAGCGCATGGTTTACCGCGATGGAAATCGGGAGGCGACGCGGGTGGTGGTGCCGGCCGCCGCCCTGGCCGCTCAATATGGCTTTCAGCATCCCACAAAGATCCCCGCCCCCCCCCTTTCCCGGGCGTTTCCCAAACCCATCTTTTGCCGTGTGGTGAAGGGGGGAGAAAAACGGAGGAGGGCCTCCCGCGCGAACTCGGCGAAGGGGACGCGATCGGCTGCCTGGTGAACTTCGGCGATGGGTCGGTGAAGTTCACGGTGAACGGCACCCTCCTTCCATCCTGCGTGAGCAAGTTCAACACCCCTGCATCGACCTGGTCGCGCTATTATTTCGCGGTGGGGATGCAGCGTAGTACGAGTTCGGTGCGTTTGCGGGTGATCCTACAAAGCGGCGCCTGCCCCCCTCCCCAGGTGAAGGTGTGGGGCTCTGGCGTGTGCGGGTCGTCGATCCCGCCTTTTTCGAACGGGGCTTCGCATCCCGAAGGCTCAGGGAGTCTGACGGAGGAGGGGACACGAAATCCACTCCTCAAAACTACCACCAAAACAGCCCCCACCAATAGACCCCTCGACTCGACTTTCCAGTCACTGGGAAGTTCCACCTCTCATTCGATAACAAGTCCGGTGGCAAATAAGTCGATAGAGGAAGTGGTGATCCTCTTTGACGTTGCCGCATACGGTCGCCAGATTGCGGAGAGCAAAATCCGTGAAAATCACCCACGTCTGTTCAACAGAAATTGGATGGAGAATTCTTTTGATGATGCGGCAGTGGCGGTCATATTACAGCAATATTTTAGTAGACGCGGCATGACTCGGACAATGTCTACGTTTTTAGCGGAACTTGCTGAAATGCGGGTGTTAATGTACCCATCAGGTGCATATTCCAGGTCTTCCGAAGTGGAAGAAACTCGTGTTGAAAATGGAACCAAAGCGACTTTCCATTCTGTAAGTGACCACTCATCATCTTCTCATAACGAGGAAGTTTCTCACGGTGTTTTAGGACCAAAAAAGGGTGGGTGTCTGTCGTCTACCCTACCGACAAGTTTGCTAGAGTATACCTCGGAGGTCGAAACGCTGCGCCGCATGTTTATGGCGACCCTTTCGCATCCGTCAGTGCTCGCCTTCTCAGACTTGTTTCCATTCCAACATCTGGCTTCCAAGCCGCTTGAGCCTTCCCATACCGGAATGCCTCAAGCGGAAGACAGTAAAGGGGTTTATGACCATACGCAAGGAGGGATTTACCCTAAGGAAACCACTGATGTTTTGGATTATTTGATGAACCACCATCATATTCTTTTGCCCACAGGGAGGTGTGCATTAATATCCATTTTGAATACAACCTTAGATTCTCTGGATTCCATTCTCCCATCGCGTTTTTGGGCTCTCTTGTTCTTTTCACTAAGACAAGATATTTTGTTTGTTATAAAGGCCCTACAGGTTATAGATACAGGGCTGGATTGGCTCCTAAGGAGCCTTTTTGATGTACGGAGACAGTTCTCTCCAAAGAAGGCCCGAGGTAATGGGATTTCACACGATAATAGTGTAAAGGAAAAGCACAGTAATTACACAGATTCAGATAATGTTTTTTCAGCTAATGCGAGTGAGATGTTTTTTTCTCCATTTGGAATGGAGTTGATCGAACAGAAACTGCTTACGTATTACACAAACGCCGTTTTGAAGCCTTTTCATGACATCAAAACCTCCAAACGCGCTGCTCGACGATATAGAGCGCGTAAATCTACTGACTCTCCAGAATTCCAAAAAGGATCCATACAACCACACATCAGCCCACATGAGCTGATGAGCGAATTAAATGACGAGGAAGATTGTATACCGGTAACTTCATCTTCTCCTGATGGTATTTCTTGTAGTGGTGTGGCAGGGGCTACAATCAATGAGTACCTCCTTACCCACATTCAGGAGTGCCGCCGCATTGCTTTCGCGAGTCCTGCTAGAGGCGGAACGGACAACGTCTCTTCCTCAACAGCGGCGCCGTGGGAAGCTGTGGCCAAAATTCTTATGTTAGACTCGACACCTTTTGTTGCCCCGCCAAGCTCCTCGACGCAAATAGCCCTTATCCAATCCCTGCTAACCGTTGTACTGCATGTTATGGCCTTTTTTAAACACATGCTATCATCTAATTTGGCGGAGGCCCAACTCAACAACGGATGTGTGGATAAGGACAATTTGGGAAAGGGGGTTCCGGATGCTCAGGGTGGGGCAACCGTCCGAAAAGGAAAGTGCAGAAACTCCAAAGAAAAACGATCCCATAATTCAAATGTCAAGGCAAAAACCAATGCCCCCTCTGCCGCTACTCACATGGTCGATAGCTCTGCAGTTGAGTTGCTTAATTGGGTAGGCCGCTGGGAGTCTTTACTACAACGTGCCCGACAGCAATACCACAAGTCCACCTGGGCGCTTCTTCAACACGCCCTGGACGAGTTCAACGACCGAATCCAACGTCGGTTAGTTCGATTCCTGCGAAATGGGAATGGCCTGGTTGGGGTGGAACCACCAGGGCGTGTGGGGTCCGCCTCGGATCCGCCCAACGAGGCGCGAAGGGGGGATTCGGGGATTTTTTCTTCCCTGCAGGGCAACCCCACGGGGCCCACGACCTACATGGAGTACCTTCTCCGTCCCAATCCCGCGCCAAACCACTCAACAGAGTTGCCGGGGGCCTCGAAAGCCCCCCCCTTCACCCACCTGCACCAGGCCGGCGCCGTTGACTCCAAGCCGGAGCCCCCTGCCGGTGACCCAATGGATCGGGCCCCCAATGGGACGACCTCCCCCCTGACGAACGCGCCGATCCATCCGAAAAGGGGGAAGGGGGCGAAGGGGGGGGGGCCTGTCACCGGCGAGATCGCCCACGGCGAGGCGGGGCTTGAGCTTTTGTTGACGCTTGGCCAGCCCACCCTTCGGGCGACGTTCCGGCGCACCCACGCGGTCGCCTCCTTGAAACCTCAGCAGCACATCACCACCTGCGCGTTTCTCGCCGCTCTGGAGGAGGGCATGCGCGGCTTGCCTGACATCGGGGCCCTCACCACGGGGGCCTTCAGCGAGCAAACCGATCCTGAGGAGGTCCCGACAGAGAAAACGACAACGCATAAGCAGAGTCGAACGGGCGTTCATACCCCAACGGAGGCTCGAGTGTCTGTGATGAAGAAATCCCCCTCTAGTGCTGTCCTGAAATCATCGTCGAAAGAACGGAAGCGTAATGTCCCGTCATTATTGATTTCCTCCCCGCGGGCGGATGGAATAATCAATGAGGAGGAAAGCCGCACGGGCGACACCCACAGTGAGGCTGCTCTGGAGGGGGGAGACTGGGCCGTCGACGAATACCACCTCGGGTCAATTTATCTCAAACGTGTATATGAGTATATGTTCAACTGAAGTTGACATATCTAACACTTTGGTGTGTTTTTTCCGGGCTGTGTTAGTTTATATATTTGTATATATGTACATATCAACACGTATCCATCTAATACTTTGTATATGCAATGATGTCGATATCTTATTGTGATAGACAGAATCATTGAGAAAGGGCGGGGGGGGGGGAGAGAAATTACTCTTCGTATCTTACCATTGGGTGGAAATTTCCTTAAGGGGTAACATTGTTGAGTAAAGATTACAGTAATTATTTAGATTTGCTCATTTTATGTATTTTGAACTAAAGGATCTTATTATTGTTTTCTATATAAGTGCACTGAAAACGTAGGTTAGAAATACATGTTAACCCTATTTCTCTGGTTTGCGTGTTGAATTATTTTGAAACTTGAGAGAAATAAATACTGAAATATATATATATATATATATATATATAA